CCTAGGTATTTACCCAAAGGACACAGAAACATCAATTCCAAAGAGCACCTGCTCCCCTGTGTTTATAGCAGCACTATTTACAATAGCCATGCTTTGGAAACAGCCCAAATGCCCAAAAATAGATGACTGGATCAAGAAGATGTGGCCCATATACACCATGGAATATTACTCAGCATTCAAAAAAGATAAACACATGCCATTTGCAGCAACATGGATGGCGCTGGAAGGGATCATGCTCAGTGAAATAAGCCAGAAAGAAAAAGAAAAATACCGGATGGTCTCCCTCATAGCAGGAATCTAGAAAACCTAAATAAGGGACCAGGAAAAAGAATAACTATAAGAAAGAAAATATCAAAGTCAACAAACAACTATGAACCAGAGACACTCTATGGGGGGTGGGGGTGAGGAAAGGAGGAGTTGGGGTCAAAATAAGGGGGTTGTAATTGTACGGGGAATATAAAAATAAAATTTAAATTAAAAATAAAGAGTCTTGCTTCCCTAACAGAGCAACTTTCTCAAGCTTATCATGCTTTACTGTGATTTCTACGAGCATGTTCAAAAAATAAAGATTTAAATCACAATTTTAGCACCAATGAGCTATGGTCCCAATAAGACATCATCTTCAGAACACATTTCCTCATTTCTAAAACAGAGGTTGACACAGGTAATACTGAAAGGCTTAATTGCATGACAGCAAGATCAGAACGCTCCTATGGGATCTCTCTGCCTCTACTCTTGTTAGGGGGAAAAGGATGTCCTAAAGCTAATTCCACACAGGCTTTGTGGACTCCACCCCCACCCCAGGCCAAAGCCAAAGACACTGGGAACTCCAAATCCCATCACCACCAAAGGGAAGGTGGCTGGGACCTGAGGGTGGGGTTAAGCAGTCAGGCTGATATAAAGCCAGATATGTGGGCTGAGGGGAGGGGTTCCCCCATTTTGGCTCTCCGCCAGCTAGCAGCGTCCGGCCAGCTCTGAGAGTGACTTTGGGTTTCCAGGTTGGCGGATCGGGTAGGACGCATTAAAGACTTTATTTCCCTATTTTCTCCCTGAGTTGTACATTTTCCTTACTTCCTTTTCCCTTGTAAATAAACCCTTTATTAACCTTTTGTGTGTGCCTGCAGTGGAGTATTCATAAGTCCCTTTTAAGCGCGCAGGTGAGGACCCACAGCCAGGCAACCCGTTCAATATCGGGGCTGCCCTATAACACTCTCTCCTTCTAAATTATCCTTCACACTTTCACCAATTAGTTTCCAACTGCTGTTACAACAAATTACCAAAAACTCACAGGCTTAAAAAAAAAAAGTCTTTAAGTTCTGGAGATGAGAAATCCCCAACAACTCGCTCTGGGCTACAATAAAGAGGCCCACAAGGCCGTGTTCCTTCTGGAGGCTCTAGGGGAATAATTCCCTGCTTCTCAAGGGTGCAGAAGCTAAATCCCTTGGCTCATGGCCCCTTACTCCACCTTCAAAGCCAGCAGCACAGCATCTAGCAGTCTCCATCCATGATTTGGACTCCTCTCATGAAGACCCTTGTGATTGCACTGGGCTACCAAGATAGTTCAAGGTAATATCCCACATCAAGATCCTTAACTTAGTCACATCTGGATATTTACAGGACCGAGACATGGACATGCTTTAGGGAGCCTATATTCTGCCTATGACAACTACTTAGAACGATGAGTCCCTTCATTAGAAACCTTTAATGGCCAAAACCAAACAAAAACATCCCAGGAAAACTAAGAAACATAACCATTATGTATATACACAAAAATAGTCAACAAAATACCAGTAAAGTCAATCTAGCGACATATTAAGAAGTATTATACATCATAACGAAATGGAAGTTATCTCATGCAAGGTTGGTTTTACATTCAAAGCCAATCAATAACACACCATATTAACAGAATGAAAGAACAAACCCACAGGATCAACTCAATAGGTAGAAAAAACACACATTTGACAAAACTGAACACTTTTTCAAGACACACTGGGAACAGAATTTCCTCAGCCTGATAAAGACCACCTATGAAAAATCCATAGTACCATCGTACTTAAATAGCCAAAGACTGAATGTTCGCATCTTAAGATCAGAAATAAGGCCAGGAAGAGCTTTCACCTCTTCCCTCCAACACTGTACTGGAGGGTCTCCTCAGAGCAACTAAGCATGAGAAAGAAAGACAAGGCATTCAGGCTGGAAGAGAATTATCTCTATTTTTAAATGGCATAACCTTATATATATATATATATATAGAAAATCCTAAGAAATCACTAAAAACTACAACTAAGAAATTCAGCAAGGCTGAAGCAAAGAGCAAAGATACAAAAAGAGCAAAGATACAAAATCAAATTACAAAATTAGTAATATTTCTATACACCAGCAATGAACAATCTGTATACGCAATTAAGACAATCATCCTAGGGGACTTGCAGTCAGAATATATAAACACTCTGACAATTTGATAAGGAAACAACCCAATTTAAAAAGAGGCAAGAAATCTGAACAGACTATTTCCCCACATAGATGGTCAATAAGCACATAAAAAGATGCACAAAATCATTAGCTGCTAAAGAAATGCAAAACCAAAACAATCAATGAGATATTACTTCACATGCACCAGGATTAGCTACAACCAAAAAAAAAAAAAAAAAAAAAAAAAAAAAAAAACCCCAAAAAACCAGTTAATAACAAGTGTTGGCCAAAATATGGAGAAACAAATGCTCAGTATTGCTCTGGGAGTGTATTACGGTGTGGCCACTGTAGAAAACAGTTTGGCAATTTCTCAGTGTTAAACAGAGAGTTACCATATAACCAAACAACTGTATTCTTAAGTCTATATATGCCCCAAAGAAATGAAAATATATGCCTACCCACAAAAAAATTACTATTGAGCAAGCAGCATTCATTAAACCGTAAAAGTGGAAACAACCCAAATGCCTATCAACTGAACGGATAAATAAAATGTGATAGCGCCTTACAATGAAGTACTGTTCATTAATAAGAAGGAACAAAGTGGCAATGTTTGCTCTCGCATGAATTTTAAAATCATTACTTAAGTGAAAAAGGCCCAGTCACAAAAGGTTACCTATTACATGATTCCATTTACACGCAATTGCCACGATGGGTAAAAAGAGAAAGTAGCTCAATGGCTGCCTGGGGACATGGCAAGTGACTGCCAATGGGACAGGGGCTTCTTTTTGGGGGGGATGAAAATGCGCTGAAGCTAGAAAATAGTCACAATCACACAACTGTAAATACACTAAAAACCACTGGATCATAACTTTAAATGGGTGAGTTTTAGGGTGTGTGAGCTATATCTCAACAAAGTTGCTGTTTTTAAATTCTTATGGGTTCAGTTCAGGAGTAAACTCACTGGTGAGCACAATAAACTGTCTTCAGGTAGTCTGGAGAGAAAGGACGTGCATAAGCCATCTTCAGAGACACATTTTCCCTGCTGTTACATTTAACGTAAAAATCATCCAGGAGAGGAGTGATCCTGACTGTAAAAGGATGTGACTTAACACAGCATGGTTACAAACACAGACATAAAATGAACAGCAGATTTCAAATAAACAACATCAAAGGCTCCCCAGTGGTCACACAGACCCGGCGCCTTGGTTTGCAGTCTGCCCTCTTTTTTGGATTCTCTGTCCCCGCTCCGCAGCACAGGTCAGCTGGCCAGTCCCATCCCACCACCCATGAGCTGTGCTGCCAGACACCCCTCACTGTCCACCTGCCTTTTCTCGTGAACACATTCTAGGACTTTTCACCCAACTACATGCGCATTAATCTTCGAGGCCTGGCTCCAGGCCGGCCCCATCAAAGACATCTCTTCACCCTCTCCAGACCAGACCCACCCAACACCCACTGGCCTCTCACAGCTCTACCTGGCCATGCCTCTAAGTTAGAGCCTCATTAAAAAGGGCACTTTCACCAACCCAAGTCAGCTGATTCATTCTCACAACAACAACAAAAAGAGGGAATCACCTAGGGTTTACCTTTTACAACCTGGATCCATTCATCTGTCCATTCCCTCTACTTTAAGGTAGTTCCCTTACTTTAAGGGGATGGTGTGTGAGCTTCCACCAGTGCGAAAGTAGATGGCACTCTTGCCAAAGACAGAGCACCACCTAGTTGCAACATGGGGCACCTCGTGAAGCCTCAGGAAGGCTCTGTGGCTGCCCTTACAGAGCTGCACCCTAGGAGGAAAAGCCCCAGTACTGACCATCCCACAGGCCCAACCAGGTCACCTTCCAAGTTACAGGTACTATCTGTTCTTGGTCATGTGGTACTTACAGAATCAAATTCAATTTCTGAAATATACTACATCAAAAAAATTCATGTATTATCTTTAAAAAGTTAAGAATTCCTTTGATAAACACACAGTAGCATTTATGAGTTTATAACAAGTGAACAGCATAAATGAGTATAAAATAAAAAGAAACTGACAAAACTAAACCAAAATAAATCTTAGAAATATGACTGCAGAGGGTCTCCCCTGGTGGCGCAGGCGGTTGTCTGCAGCCTCTGCAGCCCGGGTTTGATCGCGGCCGGCCAGCAAGTGTCCCACATGGAGCAGCAGACCTCTCCTGCCTCGCCCGCTGCTCCCCCCAGCAGTATATTTCAGTCAGTCTGCCTGTTCTGTTCCCTGCTCTGTCTCTGGTGAGTTCTCTCACACTCCTGCGCATCTGGCCTGTACCCCGGTTCTTGTATGAATAAATCTTAAAATATATATTTATATAAAAAAAATATGACTGCAGAATTGAGGCTGCTGGAGGTGGAGCGGTGAGGGTGGGGTGGGAACAAAGTGATGGGGGGACCCAATGGCCCAGGGTAAAGGACTATGGGTGCTTTGATGGAGGGAGGGGGAAGAACTGAGTAGTTAACATACCTCCGAGGGAGTGTGAACCTGTACGCCTAAATTATATACAGTTTTGTAAACCAGTGTTACCTCGATAAAGAAAAAGAAAAAAAAAATTTAAATGTCATTATTTACTCACATATAACGGAGCTTGCTGTGGAGTAAGTTTCATGACCCGGGATACTGAAACAGAAATGGAAAATGAAATGAGAATAAAATAAGAAATTACACCAAAATTAAGAAACCTCTAAGTCGTGGTTATCAATCACGCAGGGTCTGCGGACACAGTGCAGGCCCGAGACGACAGTCTATTCGTTTGCAGTAGATGTTCAGGAAGGCGGGAAGATCAAGGCTACAGAATTCCAGATTCAGTCTTTTCAGGTGGAAAAAAATATGATTGAAAATTAAGGAGAAAAGGCTTCACTGTGCAGAGTCTCTAAGGCAGTTACCAAAGCAAAAGCATCTTCTTCTCAGCTGGCCAGTGCCCAGGCCACAGCTCACAGCTCTCCTCCCAGGAAGGCGGCACAGGACCCCAGCGCTCTCGTCCACCCGGACCTTCTCTCAAGAAGGGAAGGTACAGCTTGAAAAAAGCTGTGGTCTTCCTCAAAACTAATACCTGATTATCTGTTGTTACTGTCACCAAATTAATTCTCACAAAAAACTTACAAAGTATTTTAGAGATTTCAACTTATACTCAAATTCAGGGTGTTGGCAAAGGCCCTGCATTCTCCAGTCCATGATTCTGGACCATGACTTTTTTTTTTTTTTTTTTTTTTTTTACATTTTTTGGGGGGGAGTGGGAGGAGACCATGATCTCTTAGCTTAGATGAAGTCCTGCTCAAATCACCAAGTTAAACTTTTAAGAGCATGTTATTCTTAATATCCAGGCATTTAAACATAAGTTCACCCCATCCTCATCAGTCAAAGAAGCAGACCCAAGTGATGTCACTATAATTTGATCTAAAGAAGCTTCTTGGGCCTCCCCAGTGGTGCAGCGGTTGAGCACTGGGCTGTGAAGCTGCCCACGGCCTCTGCAGCGCCGGTTTGATCCCCAGCTGCCAGTGAGGGTCCCACATGGTCCGCAGACCTCTCCTGCCGCCCGCTGCTCCCCTCAGCGGTGTATTTCGTCAGTCTGCCTGTTCTGTTCCCCGCTCTGGTGAATTCTTTCACCCTCCCACACTTCTGACTGTGCCCAGTGCTTGTATAAATAAATACATAAATCTTAAAAAAAAAGCAGCTTCTTACTCATAATAGGTAACAATTAGGGCACATGTAACCACCATTTTAACAAAGGTACAGAAACATCATGCATACACACACAAAAGGTAGATAACCTCCTATCCTGTGCTCTGTAGATCACAAAACCTTAAAACAACGAACAGAAATCCAAACCATAAAGTGGAGGTTATCAAGGACCAAAAGTTTAGAATAAAGAGCAATGCCTGAGTGACCAGTCATCACTTAAAGAACAGAATCCTCTCAATAGTGAAATCCTCACAGACCTGCCAGTCTGGTCAGACTGTGTAAGTGTGGGGTCAACACTCACCCCAAAAAAGCAGTTAAGATACACTTAGGCAGGGGGAAAAAAAATCTATACCAGGCTCCACCTCCAACCAGCTGCAGGCTAAGGGCTTCAATGTGTTCTAGACAAAGCCAGAAGGAGGCAGACAGCCAGGGGGCGAATCCCCACACTGACCGGCCCCCTCATGTCCACCCCCTTCATTCTCTGGCCTGCTCCCCACATTCTAACAGACTCCCTGGCTCAGGGCGCACTCTCCTTCCTGCCTGCCTTCATTTTATGATTTTTGTATCCTTAGGTGCTAAAATCACCTGCAGAAATTCACACTGAAAATCCAGCTTGAGAAATGTAGCAATAAACAACTCTTAGTAGAAAAAAAAGATTTCCAGCCCATGAGAATCAAATAGCAAGCGCCGAAACAGAAAGACTGAAGCACTTGAGCACTTTCCTCAATGCATTAAATATCCATTTAATTTAAAATTAAGCTCACTCTGCTCACTGACCTTTAATCAGCTTTGCAGGTCCTGTCCAGACTTGCCTGAGACAGACAGGTACCAATCTGCCTTAACCAACTTCTGAAGTGTTCTTGTTACCAAAGCAGAAGGAACATCACTGGAAACTAAGACATCTCCTTGGAGATGGACCCATAAGGATCGAAGAAATCTAGGGGACAAACCAGCCTTCTGATGTTTCCTGATTTGCAAGAAACACAGGATGGCTACGTGCAAGGACCATGACCATCAACCTGCCTGAGAGGCTCCCACACCGTGTGCTTGGAATCAGAGCCTCATCCCCACTGATCTCCAAGCCAGAGTCCACACAAGCTTTCTGCTACGAGGCTAGAGAGGGATGCCATCGTGCCCGCTCTCCCACACTGCCAAGGGACAGGTCATGGTTATGCTGGCAACACAGGCTGTTGGAAGAATCAATGTCAAAAGTCATCAAGAAGCAACAGAAGCAACAGACTGTAAATCCAGACTGCCTTTATTATTAACTCGGCTACCCTGTGCAGCTACATGTGCCGGGCCCCACAGTCAGCAAGGAGAAAAATAAAAGAAGAAAAGGGAACTGAACAGGATACCATTCTAAATATGATGCCGATGGAAGGCCTTTCTGCATTGACACTGATCTAAATGAAAGAGATTAAGAAAGCAAGTCATACAGGAGACAGGTACAAGGGGTTTCAGACCCTCACACTGGCCCCAAAATTGAAAACTCAAGGGTTCTGAAGCTAAACCATCAAAACTTTACTACCAACCCTAGCCAGTGGGTCAGGGTGCCAACTGCTGGTAAAAAGCTCACAAAACACCTCCTAAGAAGCCAACGAGCGCCAACCCACTGACACACTTAGCAAGTTCACCTCACCTGAGGACTATGGGACGGCAGTCTTCAGGCTGGCGTGAGTGCACACAAAGGTTACCCTCCAAGACCAACTTATGGTCTTTGCTTTGTCAACAGATTTTTGCTCAAGCTTCCCCAAAAGCAAAGCGAAGGGAGTGTATAACATGTCCATTCAAAGACTTAATCAAGGAGCCTTGAGGGATAACCCTGTCATTTCTTCCTTACCCAGTAACTAGTGAATGACTTTGAGTCAGTCCCCGCGTTTACTGCGGCTGCTTTCATGTACCCAAGGACGGTACTTGGCAGACACAGTGGAAATATAAAAGCTGAGTGGCATGTGAGACACTATGAAGAAAAGGTAGCATCAGAACCCAAAGACTGAATGATTTCATTTTCAGTATGTTCACCGAATCTATCACCAAGACGTCATCAGCTAGATCTGAGGAGTTACAAATTTGAGGGTGTGTAAAAGTAAATGCGCCTACAGATTTTTATTCCTCAAACATTTCCCATTTTAAAATTCTAAAACAAATTTAATAGTTTACTATTGTATAAAAGTAACACATCTACCCTATATCAAAATAAGACTCACCCAACTTTAATGTGACTTGTTTATATAAATCACATAAATGCTCACATGCAAGCAGTTCCAGGGTGGGGCTGATTAGGGAAGTTAAGTTTGTGGCCACAGTCTCTTCCTGCTCTTTAGTATAAACTCATCATGCACCTTTTCTTCTAGGGTGTCAGGTGTACCCACCATCATAGTGGACCGTGTTTTAGAATGTTTTATAATTCACACCACCTGCACAGGACTACGTAAGCACTCAGTTATGGGACAGGGTCACTGAAACTCAGGCATGAAGTGATGGTTCGCAGGCTGGGCAGTCTGGGGGTGGCAGGGGACAGAGCCATTTCCACTAACCAACATGCTGGAGCAAAATGAATGCAAAACCTTAGCAGCCACAAAAGAAGTAAATAAAAATTGGTATCTACAGCAGGAGTCACTAGACCTTTTCTTGGAAAGGCCGAATGGCAAATTATTTTAGGTTTGCTGGTCATATGGATTCTATAGTAACATGTAAATGAACAGGCGTGGCCATGTTCCAATAAAACTTTATTTACAAAACAGGGAGCAGGCTAGATTCAGCCAGTGGGTCAGAGTGCCAATTGCTGGTGAAAAGCCAACGAAACACCTCCTAAGAAGCCAAAGAGCAGTGTGCCCCGATTCAGCAGCTTTATGTCTCAATATTTTCAGCCTCAATCACTTCTCAGGGCAGCAAAGTGACAGGGTGGTGCACACATTCTCTAGACAAGATGTGAAATTCAGTGTGTGGGTATCCCCAGTCGCCCACTGATTAACCGCATGACGCTGAGAAAGGCATTTTAACCTGCATGAATCTCAGGCCCCCCTATGCAGAGAAAGAGCACAAGAACTCCTGCCTATACTGGGGGGCGGAATGAAGAATTAAGAGATAATCCAGCACAGCTTAAGGACACTGCTAGACTCAGCACAGAAGCCGTATTGCTGTTTCTTCGTTGCGGAGGTTCTGGGTCACAGTGGAGACTATCGTAAAATACATTAAAAACCATAAATGGCTAAATGAAAGGCTTCAGGTTCCCAGGGACCAATTTCTCAGAATCTTAAAACAGGTTGGTGGGTAAATTGCAATTCTAAAATATAACAAAATGGCCACAGAAAAGAACCTTGGAGAGACAGATACAGAAATATTAAGTGCACATATTTCTGGGAATTACAGGGAATTTTCATTCCTAAATTACCTGCTTCTGAATCTTAATTACGCCAACGATGAACGTACTACTTCTGTAATCTGAAGAGAACATTCATTACACGCAGCACATCTGCTGCAAGCACCTGTCATTCAGTGCATCACAACTGAACTGAAATGAGTTAAACAGACATATTTTCCTAAAACTACAAACGGAAGAAATCTACAATCTTCACTAAAGGTGCCGGGAGGAGGTAAAAGAACCGCAATTAAAATGATGATGTGTTTGTAAACAGAAATCAAACTCATCACTCTGTAGTCAAACCCACACGTACACTAACTGGAGAAGCCTTTAACAGGTGCTCCAAGGGTAATGAAACAGGGGGTTAAGGGGGAGGGCAGGTCCCCAACACTGTATCGATCGGGTCACTACCCTGCAAACTCTGGAACCTCTTAGCTTAGTGGTGGATGCTCACGCCAATGACCAGCTGTCCAGGTCTGACAAACCCACCGCTTCAACTGACAGGGCCGTATGGCCTTTGTCATTCACAACAGCAAAGCTCCCAAATTCACAATGTGCAAACCACCCTCTTAAG